GTCAAGTTAGGCAGCTTTTGCATGAGTCTGTGGCCAATTAAAACAAATGTGTCCATCGTTTAATCAGTTTTTTTCTTTTTTTCTTTTAAGAAATCTTGATCCAGTGAAAGGATTTCATTAATGTACTGCCATTCATTTATTTGCCTTAAGGGTGTGTGGATCATTTGGCGATGGGTAAACTGTACCATGATGCAACCCCCTGGAGCAAATAAGGATTAAGAGTCACGCTCGAGGCTGAGATTAGAGGGGTCATGAGGACCAGTTGCATTTGCAAATATCTTTGGATCAACTGACAGACATTAAAACCAGCAACACTATGATTTGCATTATGGATCTATTACTCACTAAGACATTCTTAACCCAGTTATAAGGGTTCCAAGTAAAGCTACAGTCAGACCTGCCAGACAATCCAGATAAAATTTGCAGCTTCTTCAACCTCTATAAACCTTTAGATATAGCTAATTTAAAAAATGAAGAAATTAATTAAAAATTTACAGATTTCGTGTGTATTTATATATCATATAGTCTACATATTATATATACATACATTTGTATATCATGTGTATATGTGTGTATATATATATATATATATATAAAGAGAGAGAGACATGAAGTGTTGGGAAAGTTACTTTGGAAATTATAATAGGTTACAGATTACATGTTACCCTATTCAAAATGTAATAAGTGGTGTAAATATTTAAATTACTTTAAAGTAATGTAACTGATTACATTTGATTACTTTTCTAAATTTCTAATTAATTTTTTCAACTGTTAATCATTTTCAAACATTTAAACCAGGCAGGGTTAACGTTACAGTAGGACTCAACACTGATTACTGTCAGACTTCTTAAAATCCTTCATCTCTTGAATTAGAGGATAAAAATTACATTTTAAAGCACAGCCACCACAAAATCAAACTTTAGCACCTCTTTTTACTTTGAGATTGTTCTGAGGTTAAATAAAGATTTAAAATCATAAGATATATGAGTTTAATAGAGTTTAAATAGTTTAATAGCTATGATACTGTTTTTTAAATCAAATCTTTGCATAGTTATGACAGGAAATAAAGCATATAAACCCAAATAGGAAAAAAAAAAGTTATCAAATAAGCATGTCCTATTCTGTGTCCTAAACTCCTGAAACATTGGTGTCTTTAGAGCAGTCAATGCAATTTGAGAAAGAAATCAGTGTGTGTGTGTGTGCGTGTGTGTGCGTGTGTGTGCGTGTGTGTGCGTGTGTGTGCGTGGGTGTGTGTGTGTGTGCGTGTGTGAGAGAGCGTGAGTGTGTGTGAGTGTGTGTGAGAGAGCGTGAGTGTGTGTGTGAGTGTGTGAAACAGATTACATTTACATTTATTTTGTAATTAATTATGTAATCCCGTTACATGTAACTAGTTACTTCCCAACACTTGAGACATTTTATATGAATATATTTATATATTATGTGAAATTACTATTTGTATGAGATGTACATCTTGCTTTTTTTAATGCAACACTGCATGCTTTGTTAAAGCCCACTTAAAATACATTTATGCTGTCTTGTCGGTTTCCCAAGTGTGGCATTTAGCTGCAGGTGTGCGAAGCCCAGTGAATGTTCTCTTACTTAACATTAGCCATCCGAATACCCACAATTCCAGCTCCAGTGCTTCTGTATTCATAACACACATTCAAAAGACAAATGCAGTTTCTCTAGACACTCTCTCGCTCTGCCTGCCAACGATCACTCATACTGTTCCTCATGTGACTCTCTGAGCCCTCCCTCACCTCTCATGTCACTGTTATTCTTTTCTGTCCCTCCTTCTCTCTCTCTCTCTCTCTCTCTCTCTCTCTCTTATTCTCTCTCTCTCCCGCCTAGTCTGGCTGCTATGTAGGGTAGCTCCGTGGAGACTAGGGCATTGCAGTGCAGTTGTTTTTGCTCACCTACCCTTTCTTATTGCTGCCTCTTTCTCACCTCAACCCTCTTTCCTTTTTCCTCCTCCTCTCCCCGCTCTTTCTTTATTTTATTTGACTCCATGCTTGTCTAAATAATAATGCTTTGCAGGGAAGCTTTAGGCCAGTGCAGATTTACTCTCATATTTAAAGGAGAGAGCATCAGCACTGCACATCAATGCAGTTCACATTCACATTCTCCCTGCGAGCCAAGCTGTGCTCTGCTTCCTCAAAGTGTGTGTGTGTGGCTCGCTTTTCCTTCACACGTCTTAAATAGCATAAGGTACATTTTATTCAGTGTTATTGTTAACCAGTGTTATTTTTGTATCATTGAGATACTATTATAGTTTTTATTCATATTTTGAATTTTTTTATTCATATATTTTTTGTTGTATTTCAGTTTTATTTATTTTAGTGCATCAAGCATTTCTGACTGAAAATGAGAAATGTTGCCTTGGCAACTAGATAAAGAAAATTATTAAAGTTTTGTATTTTATTTCAGTTAACATTTACTTTATTTTGTTTAATTTAGCAAAAATGTTTTTTTTATGGTTTTAGTTAACTAAAACAACAACCCTGTTGTTAACTAATGCTATTAAAATCATTACTAATCAGTAAATTGAAATAACTCTGAAATAAAATATAAATACTAGATGAAAAACTTCAACTTAAAAAAGCTTTAATGAAAATTATAAATGTTTTCTTGGAAACAAATTGAAATAAATACTTCAACTAAAATAAAAATGAAGCTTCAAACTAGGGGTCGACTGATTATGAGCATTTTTATGGTTATCCATGTTGATCATTTTCAAAACTGATTGGCTGATTAGGGTTGGGTACCGAAACCCGGTACCAATAGGGCCTTTCGCACCGCTTTAGTTCCAGAACTAAATGGACAGTACTAAAGTACTGGGACGATTTTGCGCGAACTATTTCCCAGTACTATTTAAAGGGTTGCATTCGCACCGACAGTGTGTACTAGGAACCGGTCGACAGCGACGTCATTTGTGCGCGGCGTTCAACAACGGAAACAAAGAAAAACAACGTTAACAACAGGAGGATGGAGGAATATTTTTGAATGAGCGTTTGCGCTGTTTACTTTCGCTTTCGATTTCGCAATCACACACATTAAAGGGAGCACATCTTACAAGATCAGATATTTGTCAATGAGTTCAGGATCTGTTGAGCGTATACTCCAGCATGGTCTTGTCAGTCATCTCTCCTTATTCTCGACCTGTGATCAGTCAAAGCTGACTCTGGTAGCTCTTGTTGGATGCAGAGTTGCCAAGTCCGTGGCTATTGGATTATCAAATATGTCTTCATAATTTGAAGTAGTGTTTCTTTTCTTTTTTTTCTTTTTTTTTATTGTATTCTGGTTTTTGTAATATGTTTGTTTCTGCTTTGGGTATTTGTGGAGTATGGTTCTTACCATCAACCTGCCAGGGACTGCAGATGAAAATTAGCCTGAATGACTAAATCTGGCACATTTACATAGTAGACTTGTTTACTCATGTTAATTAATGTGTATTGTCCCTTTTAAATAAAACAAACAAACAAACATTTGCACTCTCTATTCTATTTCTATTCTAACTACTTGTTTTATTTTTAAAGAAAAAAGAGCCTCTAACACTAGCATTCTCTATTCTTTCGCTTTCTCTATTCTTTCCACTTATTTTCTTTTTATTTATTATAAATAATGACCTTCTAAAACTAGCATTATCTGTTCTTTTTCTGTTCTATTGAATTGTTTTATTTTTATTTAAAAATGACCCTCTAACACTAGCATTCCCTATTCTTTTTCTATTCTTTCTACTTGTTTTCTTTTAATTTATTATAAAAACAAAATAAGAAAACAAACAAACAAAAAAAACCTTGCTACGTATACTGTTAGGTGAAGCCCCGCCCATGAACCCCGCCAATCCATAATTTTTGGGGGGAATTTTTATTTGTTTATATTTTATTTTTTAATAAGTATCGGTTTAGGCACCGGAACGGTTTTAAAAGTATCGATTTGGCACCGGTATCGGAAAAAAAAAAGATACCCAACCCTATTGCTGATCAAATAATTTAAAAGCATTTAAAGAAAGTTTTTTTTTATCAGAGCCCTTGTTATTCTTAATTTTGACATTAATTTTAATTTTTACACCAGACATATCGGTTCAAAATATTGGTGATCGGTCTACTTGATCTGTAATCATCGGTATGGGCATCGGCCCTGAAAAACACATATTGGTCGACTCCTACTTCAAACTGCATATAAATATTTAAAAGAAATAAAAATAAAAATTACAAAAGTACATAAAACAAACTAAAATTACAATTGTATAAGTGCAAATAAAGCTAATTCAAATCTGTATTACTTATTTATTTACATTATTTTGTATATGGATGTATTTATATTAATTATTTAAAAGTTAATTCTAAATATTAATAACTACTATAATAGTATATAAATAATACTAAAATAACACAGATTTTATTTCATTTTTAAATATTCACAGATGGGTCACAGTGGTCAACTAGATTTAATTTATTTTAAATAGAGTAATTTATTTGAAAAATATAAATTTCCACATCCTTAATTAAGGGTTACAATATGCAAATTCCAGTGAACATAAAATCATAATTTCATTTAATTAGATGCCTGGTCTTATTGTGGTTGATTCATCAGTGCACATCATTCCAAATAAAAACAATTATATTCACACTTGTCCTTTAATCTCTTTATTCTGCTTTTATTTGTCTGATATCATTTTTGAAAACCTTGTCCTCAACCAGTCACAGTAGTAAGGACACCATACCCCTTTTTAGTTATCACAAAATTCCCCATGGAGACTTTATATTTCATTTTTTGATAATGTTTTATAACACGCCCACTCTGTCAGTATCTTTTCACCCTGCTGAGACAACTTTTAACGATCCGATCATTTCCTCTTGAATAAAAAGCCCTACATTTTGTTCTCACTCTGATATAATCACATATCTCAATTAAGTAAACTGGTTTGCAAACATTTAAATTTTCACTTTGATTGATTTTGTTTAACTAGGTCTCTCTTTACTCATCTTCCTTCACAGGTGGGTGCAGATCGCTTGTCCTCGCCTCTCCATCGACTGGGGAACGGCTTTCTCCAAACCCTTGCTGTCTCCATATGAGGTACACAAGTCTTGCATACATGCACACAGCACAATCCTCCCTTTACTGTACTTGACTATGAAAGCGAAGACAAAAAGACCCACACAGACCTTAGGAATCCCCATCTCCCTTAACACACGCCACACAGCTGTACTTTCCCTGCAGGTGTTCACCTCTGCCCCGTCAGTCCACATGCTGCCCATCATGTTTGTCATGAGTGTTTCTGGCCATGTCTGAGTGCCTTTGGGACATAAAGGCTGTGTATGCATTTGTGTGAACAACGTGTGTATGTGTTAGTGCTCGCAAACTAACATCTACGCACACACTTTAATGCTAGTGAAGGAGCAGGGTTTGTTTACCCACCGTCTCTACTCCACAGAGACAGACGGGATGAGTCGGCCAGCTCAGGGTGGAACAGTAGCTCCTCCCAATGGCCGACTAACTGCAGCACCTCTCCAAACGTGTCTTTCTCTCTCTCTCATCACCAAAAGCGAGTGCGCATCTCGATTCATGTCATGCCAAAACAGGACTTAGCCAGAATCACACACCAAGGGTTTTTCCTGGGATAGGTGTCTCGGTTAAATCCCTATTCCCCATTCCCAGATGCAAAACAGAAACATCTGGCGGATTTTTATCTGCAGATAGACCTCATTAGGATGCTTGTTACTCTTCTTGTTTAGTCTATCAGGAATATATACTATTGGTCGACTGATATTGGGTTTTCTGTGGCTGATACAAAAATCAATACTGATATCTGGATATGAGGTTGTCCGATAGCTGATATAATCCTTATTTGTGTGTGATTTTGAAAGAAATTGATAGTTTTATTGACCAAGGGTTCTTTGCTGCGATTTTTAATAATATTAAAACATTAAAAATGTAATGTAATAAGTATATTTTCACAATGTACTTTACATGCAATGTTTTTATTCATGCAAAATAATATATATATATTAGTGTGTAAGTTTTTTATTATGTATTTTTATTATGTGTGTATATTGTGTATATTTATCATGTATATATAAATACAAACACATGCATGTATATATTTAAGAAAAATATGTTATGTTTATATATTAAATTTATTTATATATTATATAAAATATAAGAATATAAATATTTAAATGTATATACTATGTAAATATTTTCAAAATATTTACTGTATGTGTGTGTATTTATATATACATAATAAATATACAAAGTACACATACATGTATTATGTAAACAAAGTTTTATTTTGGATGCAATTAATCGCGATTAATCTTTTGACAGCACTAATATATATATGAATATATATATATATATATAATACATTGATATCATTTATAAAATGAGTTATAAAAAAATATATATATATTCGATTGTAATCGAAATAACATTTGTTTGCTTTATATTTATCAAAATTTGCCTTACATTTCAAAAATAATAATTATAAAAATAATTTTGACAAATCACTGTTTTTATTTTATTTTCTTTGCTTTTATTTAATGTGTGCATTATATTTGTCACAAATGACAGTATATTGCATTACAAATAATAAAAAATAAAAAGAAGAACTGTATTCTTTAAACATTATCTGTCAGCGAATTCTCAACTTGCAGCAATGGCAGTGTTGCAGACTTTGAAGTGTGATTGAATTACTGTATGTTTAAACAATATCCACAACATCTCAAACTTAGAATCACCCATCCATAATAATAGTTCAAAGAGTTTCCACTACATTTCAAACTTAGATTCACCCATCCATAATAATAGTTCAAAGAGTTTCCACTACATTTCAAACTTAGATTCACCCATCCATAATAATAGTTTGCCATGTGTTATTTTTATGTTCTTTAGCCCGTCTACCATTTTCTGCTTATTTTCCAATGTCAGATGTGACTTTTTCTTTGAAACTCTGCCTAAAGGCCAGAAGCTGGTGTTTAGTGTGCACTGTTCAATGAAGCTGCCAGCTGAGACTCTACTTGAGGCTCTGATGTGCTTGTCCTCTTGTTGTTGTGCTCGTGGGCCGTTCTCTTCTCTCTCTGTCCTTATTTGATCCAGTTTGCTGGCTTTTTTCGAGACAGCAGTGCATGAAATAGTCTTCATCTCTTAAAAGAACAACAGACTGATGAGGTTTCTAAAATATGTTTGTGTTTGGTCAGGTTTATAACCAAAATGTGATACTGTACAGTGACTTGAGAGAAACGAGTTTTTGCTTTCCACAGGATGTTAAGCAGGACAACAATTTTTAACCCTATTAAAATGTTTCTCGAGTACCAATTTATCACATTAGAAGGATTTTCTTAGTAGACTGGAGTGATGGCTGTAAAAAATGGGGCTTATATATTAACATATAAATATATATTTGTCTTTATATTATATAATAAACGTATAAATAATGTTATTTCAAACAGTAGTAATTTATAATATTACTATTTGTTTTATAATTAATGTGTTGTTATAATTTACTGTTTAAAACTGAGTTCAGTACGATTTTTTTTTTTTAAATCAGTAAATTAATACTTTTATTTAGCAAGGGCCCATTAAAATGATCAAAAGTGACAGTAAAGGCCTTTATAATGGTAAAAAAAATTCAGTTTCAAATAAATGTTCTATTCAGCACAACTTTTTTCAACATTGATAATAATAAGAAATGTTTATTGAGCACTGAATCAGCATATTAAAATGATTTCTGAAGGATCATGTGACACTGAAGAAAATTGTAAAAATATTTCACAATAATACTCAAATAAATGCAATGAAACAAATTCAGCATTTGTGAGCTTAAAAGACTTCAAAAACATGAAAAAAAGTCTTACCGACCACAAACTGTATTTGTATAATGTATAATTGTAGTATATAATTTAGCTCTTTTTTTTTTTAGATCCTAAATATAAAACCTAAATTAAAGCAATGAATTTTCAGATGTGAGGATTACTAGGTTTTGATTAGGACAGAAAGTTAATTTCAATATGACTATTATTATTTGTATACATACATCATTATGTCCACAGTCCTAAAACATAATCAGTTACAACAGAAAGATATTTTATGCAGTGCTTATTTAAAATTCACTATGTGCACTGACAATGCTGTTGACTTGCAGTATTTTGAAACTGCCGTGAGGGGAATCTTCTGTTTATCAGCCAAGCAGGCATGGTTATCTGCCGACGCCTCTCAGAATGACTAAATATCAGCCTATTAATCATCCTGCCCGATATATCGGTCTATAGCAACAATGTACCCACTGTACCAGGAGAAGCTCATTTATGTTGAGTTTTTATGGCATCATATCTCTTAGTGAATAATGATAATGCTCAGTAGAGCCATATTGAAGCACTGCATAATCATATGTGGCTCTCATATTCTACATGTCACCGTAATCCATTTTCATTGCTGCTTGGCCCACACCGGAGCTCAGCACATTTGGTGTCGTAGAAGCGTAGAGCAAATGTGGCATTATGAGAATGCATTAAAATGCAGCAATAACACGCTGATGTTTTGTGAAGGCTCAGCCCATAATAAAAGGGGTAACAGTGTTCCTGCCCAGCCAGTTTGCTTAAACATGGAGTTCATAGTAAAAGTCTTTTCAGAAACTGCCACCTTAATGCTTCTCTGCTTGTGTTTGCTTTTTCTGTGAAGTCAAGAAATGAGAGGATGTAAGGGAGTGTGACAGTGAAGTACGAAGAAAGAGAGAGAGGGCAGTCATTTTCAGTGTGTCTCATGATATATTTATAGTCAATATGACACACTTGCCTCTCATGTCAGTGCAGGGATTAGCAGGTGGCTTATGCACAGCTCTGATGAAAAGCCAGTGAAAGAGAGATGGATGTGCCAGGGTTAATAAGAACAGGATGGATGGAAGAAGAGAGAATGAGCCAGGGTTAATAAGAACAGGATGGATGGAAGAAGAGAGGACGAAAGACTGGTGTTGGCAGCACATCCAAAGCAGATAAAAAGCTCATCCAAGATCTTATTATCTCATAAAAATACATTTTTTCATCATTTTCAACATCGCTAATTGACTATATTCACACAGAAAGTCATATATATGAATTTAATATTATTAAGATGATTTAACATCAGTGTTAATATATCATGTACATCACCATTCTTTTATTTTATTATTTTATTTTTTAATAGTATAAGTTGATATACTATATATTTATATATAGTATCATATTATATATATATATAGTGGATATGATGCTATATATAAAAATAGATTAAAATAAAATTATTAATATTTATTTAGTTTTCGAAAATTAATAGTGAAATAGTGCCTATATATATAAATAGTTTTACTTTTTGGTCTCTACATACTTCTACTTCCACTTGTGTTATTTTTGGCTTTAACTATTGTTTTAAAATATTAATAATAAAATGTGAGTCAGTCTGTCCAGGCTTTTGATCACAACTCTGACCGAACAATTTTTTTTTTTTTTTTTTTCCTCTTTTTTTTTTCATTTATTTATTTATTTTTTTAATTCTCTCCCACAAATCAGTTATTTTAAGGAACTGAAAAATAAAACTATAGCATTCATTCCATGAATTATTTTGTAAAATATATCTCGGATGTAGGGTTAATAAGAGTCTAAATTATTAAATACATAGCCTGCTATATTACAGAAGCCTCAATTTTCACAGAAAAACATTCAGGCGAGAACTTCTCGACTGTCGCTTTTCCAGTCAATAAAAGCGAGTGACTGTAGCATTAGGTTTTGAAAGGTATTTAAGAGAGATTTATGAAGAAGTGTTTGTTTGTGAGGTATTGTAGTATTGTCAGCGGAGAGAGACAGTCCTTCACCGGAGGCGGGGGCGTTTGTCATTTCTCCCGCGGTATTAGAGCCGTGCGTTACAGCGCATCTCGCTTGTGAAGTGGGTATACGTGCCCAAGGGCGGAGACAAACACGGCGCATTGATTATTCATATAAGCAGCTCAGTCTGACGGGTGAGATCCTGCTGGAGTTTATGTAATAAACTCTGGTGTGAGAGTCAGGTGACTTGCCCTCTTAGACTAGAAGCGCCGTGTTTGACTAGAGTTCCCTTGATATCCGATTGCGCACATAGCTGATGTGTGTATCGACCCGTCAGCTGTTGGCAGCCCTGCCATGTTGTTTTCTCAAGATTCTCGCTGTTCCTCTGGCTTGCAGCTACAGTGTTTGATGCTGCAGTCTGATGTCTTTAATTAAAAATCCCTCTCTCTTTCAGGCAGCAGTAGCGCTGCAGCAGGTTGGATGGCAGGAGGTGTATCCTATGGATTTCTATTCCAATCAGAGCCTGGGGGCCTGGACTCCAAATCACCCAGACAACCAACCAAAAAGGCCTTCTCGCAAACTCATGCAGGTGTGCATATGC